TGAGCAGTACCGCCGCGCCGACGCGCGAGCGGTGCAGGGCCTGCTGCGGGCCTTCGACGCGCTGGCGCATCGCAGCTCGTGCAGCTCCCGGCTGGGAGGCGCGCTTCATGCGGCTCTTCTGTCCACGGCCGCAGCCGAGCGGGCACCGCAGCCTGCCCCCGTAGCGCGCGCCGCCTCACCAGTACCAGCGCCAGTACCTGAGCCAGTACCAGTGCCAGTACCTGTGCCAGTACCTGAGCCAGTACCAATACCAGCAGTGCCAATTCCGCATTCGCCAGCAGTGCCAGTACATACGCCAGCAGTGCATATGCCAGCAGTGCCAGTACAAATGTCAGCAATCCCAATGCCAGCAGTGCCAGAACATACGCCAGCAGTCCCAGCTCCAACAGTGCCAGTACATACGCCAGCAGTGCCTCAGCCATTACCAGTGCCAGTACCTGTGCCGGTACATACGCCAGCAGTGCCAGTGCATACGCCGGCGACCGTGCAGCAGCCTAGGGCCTCCACGCAGCCCTCAGCCACGCACAGGTTTTCAGCAGCCTCTCCGAGGGCGCAGGCGGTCTCAATGTCCGGGGCGCCACAGCCGTGCCCCACGGCTCTGAGACCGCCACGACCTGGCAGTCCCCGGCCTTTTTTCACTAGCACTCCTGCGCGAGCGGCACTGGACGCGGCGGCTGCCGCACGGATGGCTACCGCAACCGCTCCTTCGTTGCCTCTGGGGCGCCCCTATTGGGATCTGCCTCCGTCCTCTGATGCTGAAGACTCAGAGGCAGCACAGACGTGAGTCGTCTCACACTGCGCCCGCGTAAGCACTTAGCCCACCGGCCCGAGGCAGCCGGCCGCAGCGAACAAGAGCTAGCATCGGCGCCCCTCGAGTCTCACGGCCTCGTGCACCCAGCCCTGAGGGCTCTCCGCTCGAGGCGGCTTCAGTATTCTGGCCCAAAAGCCGGCTACCGCTGGGTCGCTTGCCCGTCAGGGTCGGCGCGATGCGATGACGCCGTGCTCACGCCGTGCCTCTCTCTCCCTTCTTTCCTCCTGTGCACCTGTATTTGCGCTTTTGTCTACCATATTCGTTCACCTGTCCATCCTCCTCCTCCGCCTTGGTTCGTCCCGTGTTTCACCCTTAAAGGGCCAGGTACTCGCATGGACAAGCGTCACACAAACACGGCACAGGCATGTGCATCCCATGCACAGCTCTCTGCTCTTTGCTCTCTGCTCACGCTCGAGCGCCTCTCGCCGCCTGCCTTATCGGCATCACATGTCCAGTTTTGGATCTAGGGTACGGTCATCGTCCTATAAGCGCTTTTGCCATTGAGCGGCATGCCACACTTTGCATTTGCGTCCGCCCGACAGCGAGGGCCGCCGGGAACAGCACAGCTCGCAACAGTGCTAGGACGCTCGGCCGAGGCCGCCCAGAGCGCGAAGGCCTCTGGTAAGGCCAAGCCAATGCTCGATGCTAGGTCGCAGCACTCTTACGACTTGCACTGCGTGGCTCAGCCGCTTTACGCGCACAAGCCGATATACGTTGACGGTTGACACTGAAAGCCCACTCAGTGCATCTCCTCGATCCTCTTTTTTCCCCCTTGGCACTCCCTCCTCCTGGTCCTTTCCTCGCGCATTACGTATTACGTGCCGTGCAGTACGCTCCATGTCCAGGGTCATTCGCACACCAGGCCGAGGGACCACACCACATTCGGCGTCAGGATTTTTGGACAGCGACCGTAGACAGCTTTCAGCAGCCCTGTGGCTTCCGACTCGGCGCAGTGCGCATGCACCTGTCACGCACTTGTCTCAGCGGCACTCCGCCTCAAGTTTGCAGGTCTCGGCGAAGCCGCAGGCGCTACCAGTCATCTTCCGCAGAGTGGTCCTACAGACAATGCCATGACAGTTTACTCGATTCCTCCCTCTTCCTCGGCACGGCCGGCCAGACAATGCTAGCAACGCATTTTTCAATGCAATGTTATGACATACGTTGCACCGTCTTGGCATATAGCTGGTCTCCATGCGGCCGTCTTCGGCGCAAATGGCCTTTTCCGCTCACGGCAGCTCCTTGGCAGAGCATCCTCCGGGGAACCCCCCCTCCCTCCTGCCGAGTATCTCTCGGCTAATGCTGCCCGTCAGAGGTGCGCACCTGCTGCGGACAGCTACCTCGCCTTAGTGCTTCTTGGCTGTGCAAGATACTCCTTCACCCCCCCTAGAGTTCCTCCCTCCTCCTCTTACCACGTGTCGGCGAATCCCGCTAACACTAAGAAGCCAAGTACAGCACAGGCATTCTCTTACCTGCCCCCCTTACCGGTCACGTGCGTTTCCGATGGGGCTTCCTAGGTCTCTAGGCGGCAATGCCAGCCTCTCCCTCCTGGTCCGCTCCGACACTGCCGCCCTACAGCGCGGCACTGCCATTTTGGCTCTCTTCCTACTCATCCCGCTCATATCCATGGCTAAGCCATGCTCCCAGGTGGCCGTTCCTGAGGCCAGCTGTGCTGCTCTTCGGTCTTTCAGCGCTGCCCGCATAGGGCAACGCCTAGCTGGCGCGCTTAGTGACTCTCGCACGGCACCGATCCCTTCTCTTCCTCATATATTCCCCCTCCCTCCCCTTCGGTGCCAATACCTCCCCCGCCCAACATGCAGGTCCAATGGCGAAGAATCGCTTTTGCTTGCGGACGGACCAGGAGCGGAGATCCTTTGTAGTGCCCGCTAGGCGGGCTCTGTCTGCCGCCTAGCCGACCTGCGGCCGCCCCGCTCAAGCTACTTGCAACGAGCTAAGTGCAGTCAAAAAAGCCCCCCTGTGACTTTTCGTCGACCTCCACGTTCGTGGCATCCGATTGCCATCCTCATTCGCCCGCTCCTTCCTCTGGACTTTCTCCCCGTTTCTCCCCCCCTCCTCCTCCCTTCCGCCTCTTCAGTCACCCCCATCATCCCTGCTCCCTTCCCGTTCGTCGCTCATGGACACGTGCCATCGCAACAGTTTGATGCTTCGTCGTTTGCCAGCACCTTCGCGCTTGAAGAAGCAGCATTCCTTCCCCACTCCTGCGCACATGCGTGCAAGCGCATCGGGCGAGCGCGGTGTCACCAAGCACCAGGGATATCAGAAAAATGAGCCGATCGCCCGTCCAGCCCTCGAGGTCACCCTGCTGAAACAAGCGATGACTTATTGCTTTGCCGGGGAAGCGTCCAGAACCAGGCGCATGGCGCGAAGCGCCAATGCAGCCTTGTATTGATATGCAGAAATATGAATACACGCTAGTTGCTCCCAATATATTTTATATATCCATCACAATCGAGCCCAATACCTTCCTACCGATCTTACAATCCACCTCTCCCACTATCAGTAAAGGTGTCGCACTGTCTATCGGCCGGCCGCACGATCCATCTACCTGTCGACCTCACCCAAAGTCAATGAATGCACCATCGAAAGATCGGAACAACCATGGGAACCATGACCAAGAACACCATTCAGACGACCATCGCGATAACGGACAACAACGGGACAACCACGGGACAACCGCGAAATAACCAGGGGACAACCCCGGGACAACCGCGCGACAACAACGGCCCCACATCCGCAAACCTGGGGGGAAGAAACATGTGTTTTGACTTTGCCCTAGCAGCGACAGGATCATTCCGCTCCACGCACGCAGCTACGCCTCGCCCGCACGCACGGCACGAAAACGAAACCGACATCGATTTCCCCGTGGGGGGTCTCGGTCTCCCGTCGCTCACACCTCCCAATCTCCGATCTGCAGATCCCACTTACTTATATATATACACACACGTATGTGTTTATCAATCGATCTACCTGGCCCGATACTTATCGATCGCATGGTCAAGCAGTCCATCGATCATCGGTACAACCATCAGGATAACTGTTGGGACAACAATTGGCACGGCCATCAAGACAATTATCGGGGCAGCCTCAATTGATCCGTATATCGAAATCACAGTTTGCCTTTACAACTTGTGTGTATGTATACAGTGAGATCAAAGGATCTACCTGGCGATCGACCTCACCAACTTGATGTTGGCCGCACTATCTCACGATCGACCTATCGATAACAATACCTACATGCCGATCTCACTACCAACATAAGTGTCGACATATCTGTCTGTCGGACTCACTATCTGTACGCAAGCATCACTAACAACCAACCGCATCGAGACAACCGTCGGCGCTCCGCTGCAGCGTTGGCTGTTATTTTCCCATGTACGGTCCTTATCAATGGAACTCCAGCTGTCGGGTTGGCCTCGTTCCTTGCTTTTGGTCCTTGATCGTGATGCTCTCGTCAGGGCATTTTCATCATTTACACGTGTGTCTCCTTCTCGAAAATGCTCCCGCAACAGCGTTGGCGTCATTCCGCGTTTTCAATCCTTCAAGTGCCCCCGCTGCAACGGTGGCCTCATTTCAAATTTGTCGTCTGCAACATGGGCGTCATGTCTTGAGCGCCATTTCTGAAGCCGGCATCCTGATTTGACCTGGAACCTCCGTCCAAAAGACAGGCACCCTCGACGCGGCGCAGGCCGTGCGCTACCATCAGCATGTACCTTGGGCCTCCTGGCCCTGGTCAATACGTGTTGGCATGTCAAGACTAAACTCCCGCCACAGCGTTGGCCTCATTGCTCAGTTGCCGTGGAACCTCCGTTCAACGGAATGGCGCCTTCGCTGCAGCACTGGCAGTACTATTGCATCGGCATTGACTCACGTCTCCCTGCCCTGGTCCCTACGAAATGCCACACCATGCTTCGCTTTGCCATGCTCTCGTACGCCATGTTGCATTATGAGATGTCGCGCGGAACTTACCCTTTCGAGATCAATGACTTCTTCGGCACCTGACTTTGTGAATCTAGAAAAGGCTCTGCGCAGTGGTACGGGATGGGGGGAGGGATGGGACGTCAGATATGACGCAAGCGCACCTAGCTTGCCTGTTTCCTCCCTCCTCTCTCCTCTCTCCGCCTCCTCGTCCTCCTTCTCCTCCGTCTCGTTCCCCCTCCTTCCGATAGCGGGC